ATTGCCTGTGTGCTGTCCCTGCCTGCCTTGTCCCCAGTCCCTCTGCAGCTCTCCTGGAGCCCCTTCAGGCCCTGGCAGGGGCTCTGAGCTCTCCCTGGAGCCTTCTCTTGTGCAGGTGAGCAGCCCCAGCTGTGCCAGGCTGGCTCCAGAGCAGAGGGGCTCCAGCCCTGCAGCATCTCCGTGGCCTCCCATGGATTTACACTTTCCAACACAGTGTCAGACTCTCCCCCACCAAAACCATACACTGCAATGAGTTTTGTAGCTGCTTCGTGACTGAGGTGCCAGGACTGTTTGCTGGAAAACTCCACTTGAAAGATTCTTTCTTTTCCTTCCCAGTGCACCATTCCAGGGGTAGGCTTTTCCTAGAATTATTTCTCTAAGTGTTCTAATTAGCAAATCTGATCCTTAACCTCCCACTGATCTCAGCCTTATCCGATTAAACTGATGACCAATCCAAGAATGTTTAATCTAAAGTGAGGGGATTTGTAGTTAGTCGGTTTCCTAAGACCATGGCTTCTGTCCATTTTCTTCTAATCTATATATTTTCATTTGAGGTAAAAGGAAAAAAAAAATACAGACTTTCTAAAAAAGTGTTTGTGTTTAGACCCTCATTTTGCACCTATGCATATGGAGTTTTATTTTACTAAAAAAATTATTGTTGATGACATCATTAGTCCTAAAAATAAAAGCAATTGCTCCAGTGTTCCAAGTACAACTGGGCTGAATTTCCCCTCACAGGTGCTTCTGTTTGTTGACAGGATTGATTTTGTTGCTCCCTTCTAAGAGTTTGAATTTGTTGTGGGAAATCCTCATGCCAGTGATCTTAGAGTTATATTCCAATCTAAATGGTAAACATTGTGAAGATGAATTTCTAAAAAAATTTTTGCTTTGAGGAAACAGCCTTAAGATGTATCAGGGGGGGTTTAGGTTGGGTATTAAGGAAAAATTTATTCACTGAAAGGGTTGTCCTTTCCCAGAGCTGTCTGGTCCTGCCCAGGGCAGTGTTGGATTCCCCATCCCTGGAGGGATTTAAAAGCTGTGTGGATGTGGCACTTGGAGACAAGTGGGTCAGTGGTGGCCTGGGCAGTGCTGGGGGCAACTTTGATGATATTTTCCAACCTTAACCATTCTGTGACTCTATTCTATGATTCTGCTATGCACTGGAATGCAATACCAAGTTAGGGGGCCTCAGCCTCCAGGTAAATAATTTAACCTTCACAGCCCCTTAGCTAGTAAAGCACCTTTGGGGACCTAAAATGATCCTTCTGACCCACACCCCTGAAATATCAAGTTCTCCAACTCCTTTTTAAACAGTTTCTGTTTCAATATATGTGAAATTAATTTCCATGGTCTACTTCTGAGAACATGGAGAGTGAGGGCCTTAAGTCACTGAGGTGTATTTGTTTTGAGACCTAGACTGTTTCATCATCTCATTCCAAATCTGGAAAAAGCCCAACTGCTGGTAACAAAATGGGCCTGACCACCTGAAGGCAGTCTTCCAAGGCAAGACAAAGAGAAACTTCAGAAAGGTGTTAATCTGTGCCTAACAATTCGCCTGTCATGGGGTTCTTGCACTCTGAAGGAGAGGGAAACAATCAAGAAATAACCAAGCAATAATCTTTTCAATGCACAGCCCTGCCTCCTCGTGGGTAGCATCTTTCTTAGCAGGTGAATTATGCCCAGCTATGGCCAAACTCTGTGTCAATTCCTTTGCACTTAGTGTCAAGATTCAAAAGATTAGATAATTATCAACACCAGTGTTCTTTGTACTGTTTATATTTCACAGTAAAACAAAAAACACAGTAAAACCAAACAGAACGTGCAGCAGTCCCAGAGGATCAGATAAAGGATATTGCATTGTTGCATTTCCCCAGATTTGAGCACTTGACATGAAACTGGGAGTTTGGAGGGAATTATGCACATCAGACACCAACAATGAGAGAGGCTTAGGAAGTGGCAGTCAGGCAGTTCATCTGAGTAAAAAGCAGATAGGTTTTTTTAACTTTACTTTTTTATTTATGCTTTTTTTTAAATTATTTTTTTCCTGCAAATTATTTTTTTGATAGTATTTACTTACTTTATGTGTATGTGTATTTCATGTCAGAATTGTAAACACAGTGACATCTCTTTCCTGGCACTGGGAGGGAGGCAGTCCAGGAAAATACCCCAAAATTTCTGCTCAGCATGTTTCTTATGAGTCTGGTATCACCTGTGTATCAGAAACAACAGTGAAAAAAGGGCGCTTGAAAAAGAAGGGTTATCTGAATAGTAATTATTTGATCTAAAGAAAAAAAAAAACCAAACAGAAAAACCCCCAGTTTCAATAATAAGATAAATGAGTTCTGTTAGCAAAGACAGTATTTTGAAGGATAATGGGAAAAAGCATAATATGCATGTTCTGACTGACTTACATGTCAAATTTCCAAATAGCTGTTATTTTCTGAGGCTTGATGGGAAGAGTAAATTCGCTGGATAGTATAAAATTTAGAATTAATTCTGAATGATGTGCAAAATCTTTCTAAATGGCTGGGACACGGCCTTCATCTTTTGTTGTTTTTCACTTCTGTACATATGATTTCTTTATGGTACTGCCAAAATGTCTCTGTTGCTCAGCAACAGCAGGCTGGAATAGCACCAGTCAGAGGAAATCTGCTGATTTACACTGGACATAAATTGTGTTCTCTTGCTGGAGTGCATTTTTTGACATAAGGGGGAAAGCAGCCTTTGTAGATTTGCCTCTCTGGGGCACTCATGGGTGGGAAGATCTCAGTTCACACATTAAAATGCCTTTTTGCACCACAGCTTGATAAATCCTAGAAGCAGAGGATGGTTTCGGTTGTGTTGGACACCCAAAGGTCATCAGTCCAACCCCCTGCAATGAGCAGGGACATTTTCCACTACCCCAAGTGGCTCAGAGACCTGTCCAGCTGGACCTTGGCTTTTTCCAGGGACAGGGTAATCACCATATCTCTGGCTGTGGTGAGAAGTGCCAGTGCCTCACCACCCTACCCATGAAAAATTTCTTCTTTTTATCTCGTCAGAATCAATCCTCTTTTAGTTTAAAGCCATCAACCCTTTTCCCATCAAAACGGGCCCTGATGAAAAGTTTGTCCACATTTTTCTTAAAGAGATCTTTGGGTACTGAGAGGCTGCAAAAAATCTCTCCCTGGAGCCTTCTCTTCTCCAGGTGAGCACCCCCAGCTCTCCCAGCCTGGCTCCAGAGCAGAGGAGCTCCAAAGCCCAGGATATCTCCACGTCCCTCTGTGCCTGCTCCAGGTATATTCTAGACAGAGCAGGACCTCCTCTAACCCCAGTCCGGGGTCCAGCAGACTGGGAATGAATCACTGCCTGCTCTGGGGAGGTTTTTGTAGCTCCTTCTTGTCCCAGTGCTGTGCCTCGGGCAGGCCGTGCCTCCTGTGTAGAACCAGACTTTGCACTTGAAGGTTTAAGAATGTTTGATGCCACAAAATGCCAAGGGACTGAGGGAGCTGGGGCTGTTCATCCTGGAGAAGGCTCTGAGCAGAGCTTAGAGCTCCTTTGAGTGCCTAAATGGGCTCCAAGAGAGCTGGAGGAGGATTTTGGCTAAATCTTGGGTGGCAGCACAGGGGGAATGGCTTCCAGTGCCAGAGGGCAGGGCTGGATGGGATCTTGGGAAGGAATTGCTGGCTGGGAGGGTGGGCAGGCCCTGGCACAGGGTGCCCAGAGCAGCTGTGGATGCCCCTGGATCCCTGGCAGTGTCCAAGGACAGGCTGGACAGGGCTTGGAAAAACCTGGGACAGTGGAAAGTGTCCCTGCCCATGGCAGGGGGTGGAACAAAGACGCTTCAACCCAAACGATTTTGTGATTCTGTGATAAGCACAAAGAGCAGAATTTAAAAGTTTCCTATGTATTTCCCACACACTGATTTAAAAATTTTCTCTTCCAGTGCTTTCTACACTACTTGTTTAAGAGGTAACCTATCTTTGGAAGAACTTAAGAAAGAGAGAGAAACTTACACCAAACTTAAAAAAGGATGAACGTTTGCTCTAGAAATTAACTCCACAGAATATTATGTAGGTATTTATTACGTAAATCATGGAAATGCTACATTTTACAGGTGAGTGTCAGACATACAGAAATACTGTTGAACATCTGAAAACCTAAAAGTTCACCAGAAGATACTGCCAACAGTTCAAGACAAATATTTTACACTCAGGTCTTTGTGATGTTTTAAAAAATAAGTGTTTTTGTTTTTTTTTTTTTTTTTTTTCCCACACTCAAAAATCACGCTAGACTTTATTTCATCTGCTACAAGAAAAACAGGTTTTGATTTGATTTTCCTGGTGTGACGTTAAGGCATGTGGGCTCCTGTCAGCTGAAGGACCTGAGCACGTGGAATATTTTTGGTGAAGACACGAGCTTCAACATGAGACAGAGCATGCGAGCGAGGCAGGCAGAGAGGTGGCAGAGTGAATCCCTGTGGAGGTGATCCACACTGCTGGGAGCAGGGCCAGCTTCCCTCTTCCCCACCTGCACACCCTGGGCAGGGGTGGCACATGGCTGGCGTCCTGCAGAGCTCTGCTGCTCCTCAAATATCCCCTTCCCACTGTGGGGCAGAGAGAAATGGCAGAGCAGCAGCTTCACAGCATCATGGAATTGCTGCCAAAACCTCCACTGACCCATGTCCCCAAGTACCACCTCCACACAGCTTTTACTGCTACTGCCCCTAACAGCCTGTTTCTAGGCTTGATAACCATTTCTACAAAGATATTATCCCCAATATCCAATTTAAACCTCTTTGGCCCAGCCCGAGGCCTTTCCCCCTCCTCCTGTCCCTGTTCCCTGGGATAAGATCCCAAATCCCCCCCGGCTGTCCCCTCCTGTCAGGGAGTTGTGCAGAGCCACAAGGTCCCCCCTGAGCCTCCTGAGCTTCAGCAGCAGGCTGGGACAGTGCAGGGGACAGAGCAGCATTTTGCTGTTTGATATTCGTGGGCTGAGGGAGAAGTAGGGAGAGAAGAAGATCAGCTCAAATTAGTTCTATTTGTGCATTGACTGAACAGAGCTATTTTATTGCATGGGAAAGGGACAGCAATGACTTTCGTGCTGTCCCCCCCTTTGCTAACCCATCACCAAGTTCAAGTATTAAGAGAAATCATGAGATTAACACAAAAATCACAAAAAATCATGTCCATCTTGTGTTTGTTGATTGCTAATGAACATCTCTCTCCACGGGGTTTGAGAGGTCCTCCAGGTAAAATTCTTCACAACCTATTTTCTATTTGGCAAAGAGTGCTCTTCATTCTATTTCTCTGCTACAAGGAAACTCTCTAGGATGCCTCCTATTGCTGTCATTAATTTGAAGTCCCCTCATGTGCTGAAAGATGCTCTTTATTTCTTTATGTCTGATTTCAGTGTCTTCAATTTCACAAAGAGATTTTTCTTTTCAGCTTATAAGTCATTTTCCCATTGCTTATAATTCAAGTTTCAGACATATGTGCTTTAAAATCACAACAGATTGATCTTGGGAAAGGATCTTCCAGCACAGCACAGTCCTATCTAATAGAAATCTTCTTAATAGAGCAAACATGATGTGGTGGGAAAAGTCTCTCCACACAGAAGGTGGTGTTGAGCATTGTAGTACACAAATCACAGTCTGCTGGGCAAACACCTCGTGCTCTTGCCTTAAAATCTGCTGAGTTTCTCTCTTCCTGGGTCTCTATGGCTCACAGCAAGACCTCTCATGTTTCTTCATCATCAGATAATAAGCTCGGTTGGCTTCTGGGTAGGTGACTTTGGAGAGTGGCAGCTTGCAGATCCCAGAGCTGTTCGTGGTCATCAGCAGGAAGATCAGGGCAGACAAGCAAAAAGGCCAGGTTCCTGATGGCACCCCAAACTGCAAAGAAAAATAACAAACTACCTATTTGCTGTGTGTTTTTTTGGGAGGACAAGAGGTAGGAGAGGGTGGAGATGAGACAGGAGAGTGGATACCAGAAACATTCAGCTTTTCCCTGGGCTGTTGTACTGACTGACTTTTGGCAACTGAGAAAAGAAGTTAACCCAAATTTAATATTTCTTTACACATGTGCAGGGCCCTTTTCCCAATTGCTTCAGGCATGAAATAAATATCTGAAAGAGGGGAGATATCCTAGCAGCCTGCCAGTGCCTAAAGTGGGTCCAGGAGAGCTGGAGAGGGATTTTGGGCAACGGCCTGGACAGCACACAGGCAATGGCTTCCAGTGCCAGAGGGCAGGGCTGGATTGGATATTGGGAAGGAATTCCTGGCTGTGAGGGTGGGCAGGCCCTGGCACAGGATGGCCAGAGCAGCTGTGGATGCCCCATTCCTGGAAGTGTTTAAGGATAGATGGGGCTTGGAGCAACCTGGACAGTGGAAGGTGTCCCTGCCCATGGCAGGGGATGGAACTTGATGAGTTTTAAGGTGTCTTTCAACCCAAACCATTCCACGATTCTGTGATCTCATAAGTGTCAAGAGCTGAGCTGTGGAAGTTCATGCAAACTCCAAGGATGGAAAATGGCAAATGATGATTCCAAGTCACCTGTCCCAGTGGGAATCACACTGACCCCCTGGGCAGATAGTAACCCCTCTCCCAGACTGTTTCTGCCTTTGGCTGAATTTTTTTCCACATCTTGGTGTTTTGTCTGACAAGCCAGGGACAAATTCAGTATATGGAAACCAGCCCTTAGCTGATACACTACTTACCACAGACAACATGTGAGTCACTGCTGCTCCCAGGTATGCAGTGAAGAGTGCTGTGAAAAAGAAAGGCAGTTCCTGGTGAGTTCAGTTGCTCATGGAGTAGAACATCAATGAGAAATACCTCTCCTTGTGCCTTGGCTAGCTCAACCAATGATTGTGACCCTGTCTGGACAGTACCCTGCTCAACCCCTTCCTGTGCCCCCTCCAACAACCTGGAGCTTAGGAGAGGGGCAAAACCAACCAACCAACCAACCAACCAACCAACCAACCAACCAACCAATCAAACAAATAAACAAAACTGGAGTGATGAAAAATATGCTATGGTATCAAGGGCTTTTGAAAAATGCACTGACATGGAAAGTATGTAGCTTGATGGATAGAGTTAAATAGGAAAATAACCCTTCCACCCTCATCTGTCCTGCCTCCAGGGCTTGAAGGTGGGTCAATGACATACAGAGCTAAACCTTTCTTTTATGAGCACTGAATGAGCAATAGTTTCATTCCCAGCTCGCTCTAATATTGAAATTTCATATGGAATTGCCTTATAAATAATTCTTGAATCCCGCTGTGTTGCCCAGCTCATGCCTTTGATCCATTTCAAGAGAATGGGGAATGTGTGCTGTCTAACTACAGCAGAGCTCCACTCTCCTCAAAGATTAGGCATATCCTTCTTCAAAGAAGGAATTTGAGTTGGTATTTATGGCTGGAAAAAACCAACAAGATTCATCCAGCAACGAGCAAACAAACACAATCAAGGACTCAAAAGAAAGCATCTGGTTTCAAAGACCTTAGTTAACATGTGCCCACTGATCACAGCTCTTGCTTTAAATACAACCCTTGGCCAAAAATGAAAGCACGGGGTGCTTTAAAGCTGTGGCTCCATCACTCAGCTCCCCTCCTCAGCCTCACCCACACCCACCTGCCTGCCTGGAGGTGCCCATCTGCCTCCAGCCCTGCCCAGCTGCAAAGGCATCCTGCCTCACCTCGAGGAGAGGTGAAAACCCTCTGGGTACCTACCACAGGCCATGGCCAGGAGGTGTGACTGCCAGGTGAGAGCCAAGAACATGCCCCCGATGGCAGCACAGGACAGAGAGCTGTTGTAGCCCCACAGCCCCAGGTAGATCTGGTTAAACGGTGTTGCTAAGCTCAGCCCTGGAAAATAAAATCAAGAGAAGTGTCGTTCCTTGGACCAAGAGATGCAGAACTGGCGTGGAGCCAGGTTTTCAAAGGTTCCAGCCAGCGTTTGTGCATGAAGCTGCTTGTAGTTGTGTTGCTGTGGTCTAAGGGAATCGCGGCAGAATTTTCCTGCTGAGCTGAATTTGGTGATTTGATTTCCACAGAACACACATGAGTGAATGAGCCTACATGTGAACCTTAAAAGCATCCCTGGGGCCTGCACATTCAGGCTGATGGCTACAACTTTCACTGATCTGCCCCTAAACCCACCAGGATACACCCAGAAATTAGATATTTCATGGTAAAAATGAATCTCAGCACAACAGACACTTCTTTCTTCTGAAGGCTTCCACCATTACAAAGCAAGGTAAGAGAATGGGGAAGTCAATCAAAAGAATTCTTAAAACAGAAGTCTATTTTGTTCCCAAGCAGCCATTCTCCAGTGGGTGAAACACTTGTGACTTTAAGTGCTCCACTTATTGTAGCTCCTGTTTTATTCTCCATGCTTTTATATATAAATCTGTGGCACAAGCCAAATCATTACCTGCCAGCATCCCCACTGCTGAGCCGATCACTGCATGGACACAAATGAGTGGAGAGGAGATAAATAAACCAATCAGGAAAATTCCCCCAGTCCAGGGATTGTCACAGCCATAAACCTGGCCCACGCCCACTGGAATGGATTGCAGGAGCTGTAGAAATTAACAAAACAGACCAAACCAAACAAGACAATTTGTTATCAGCTTTGTAAGGTTTTTTTTTTTTTTTTTTTTTTTTTTTCCCACACTCAAAAAT